TCCTGAGCATTCACATCCTGAGTAACCAGGGAGGGTCTGGCTGCCGCTATCTGCACAGCTTCTGGAGTTGACCCATCTTGGGTGATGAAGGAGTGAAGAAAGGACAGATGTGTGTACAGACAAGCTGTGATGGAATGATCCCTTGCTCTGATGTGGAAACACCAGCAGCCAGAAAACTGCCTGCTGAGCCCCCAGGAGGTGTGATTCAGGAAATGGAAACCTGAATAGAGCTGAGTGCTGTACAGCATGCCTTTAGTCTCCGCACTTGGGAGGTGGAGTCAGGCTGGGTTCAAGCCCATCCTGATCTACAAAGTAAGTCCAGGATAGCCAGGGCTCTGCTATTCTAAGAAATCCTGTCGTGGGGATGGGGGAATGGACCAAAACAACATGAATACTAATGCAATAGAGTATATTCTGCTTAGCAAAGTTCTTCAGCTACGAGTACAATCAGATCCAAGAGGTAAACACTTGCTTTACTAATAAAAGTGGTGATGTTCCCAGTTAATTTGTAGCCCTAAGTATCACTGATTCTCTGTATTCCAGCCTAAATTGGACACTTTAAAAAAATCTATGGTTTTTTTGGTAAGGGATTAAAAATAGTGTCTTGGAACCTTTCACTTACTTAATTAAATTTTTGTTTTATACTTCTTATGTGTATATAGACGGTGCTTTTATACATACATGCACACACACACATATGATGCGGGCTTTATGGAACACTGTGGCCATGAATGACATAATACAGAGAAGATGTTGCTGGACATATATTGGTTGCTTAGTGCATGTCTTTTCTGTGGTCTCATTTAGTCCATTCAGGGAAATTGTGATGTAGGTACTGGTATACAGATGAGGAAACTGAGGCCCTGAGAAGTTGTCCAAGCCAGAGCTTATGAACCAACGTCCTTAAGGTTTGCAGAGCCTGTGTTCGCACCTATGACCCTGAATGCCACTGCTGTTGGCCAAGGTGTGTTCCTGAGAACACAGAATGAGACCTGAATGTCTGCTTCAGAAGATTTCCAAAGACTTGTGTCTTATATGGGTTTTTTTTTCCTCTCTCTCCCTGCCTGAGATAGAATTTCTCTATATAGCCCTTTATAGTCGTCCTGGAACTCACTCTGTAGACTAGGCTGGCCATGAACTCAGAGATCCTCCTGCCTCTTCCTCATGTGTGCTGGGGTCAAAGCTAACCACACCCTGCCCTAGTAGTGTGGGTTTCTGTAGATGCAACAAAACACCATGACCAAAAAGCAAGTTGGGGAGGAAAGAGGTTTTGGCTTACACTTCTATGTTGCTGTTCATCATTGAAGGAAGTCAGGATAGGAACTCAAACAGAGCAGGAACTTGGAGGCAGGAGCTGAAGTAGGGGCCATGAAGGGTGCTACTTACCTCCTTTTTCCCCATGGCTTATTCATTCTGCTTTCTTATAGAATCCAGGACTACTAACCCAGGATGGCCCTGCCCACAAAGGCCTGTGCCCTGCCACATCAGTCATTAATTAAAAAAAAAAAATCCTTTACTGCTGGATCTTATGGGGGTCTCTCTTTCAGTGCAGGGGGCGGGATGTCAGCCACACAGGGTTTTTCCATGTAGCCCTGGCTGTCCTGGAACTCTCTTCGTAGACTAGGCTGGCCTGTGCCTCTCAAGTATTGGGATCAAAGGTCTGTGCCACTATAGTCCAACTTAGGAGGCATTTTCTTATTTGAATTCTTGTGTCAAGTTAACACAAAACTAGCCAGTACAGCCTGTGACATTGACAGGGCTAAGGACATGATGACTGATTCAGACTTGAGTGCCATCCACCAGATACTTCTGGATACACAAGCATTTCTCAAAATGGGGAATTTTTGGATTTGGAAATATTTGCATAGGCTTTACTAATTAAGTATTCTGAATCTGAAATCCATAATGTTCCACAACAGTAAACATTTTAAATGTTATAACTCATGAAATGGATTTTAGAGCATTTTGGATTTGGGGATGAAGGTACACCCTAGCTGTACTGTCCAGGAGGAGCTGGGCATTATTTGACCCCAGCACACATGAGGAAGAGGCAGGAGGATCTCTGAGTTCATGGTCAGCCTAGTCTACAGAGTGAGTTCCAGGACAACATCAGAGTCAGCATGTTATTCCCCACACAGGTTGGCACTCTCCAAGTCTGACATCCATGACTTCCCATTTAATAGCGATGGACCTAGTGAGCCAGTTACAGAAAAGATACCAAGTTTCTTGCACCAGTGTTTTCTTGTTTTTGACCCCTACCCTCTCTGTAGGCATGGAAAGGGTGAATAGTGTACTGACTGGTGTTGTGTGTCAACTAGGCACAAGCTAGAGTCATCAGAGAGGAAGGAGCCTCCGTAAGATCCACCTGTAAGGTATTTTAATTAATGACCAATGTGGGAGGGCCAGCCCTCATGGGGTGGTGCCATCCCTGGGCTTGTGGTCCTGGGTTCTGTGAGGAAGCAGGCTGAGCAAGCCATAGAGGCAACCCAGAAAGCACCCCTCCATGGCCTCTGCATCAGCTCCTGCTTCCAGGTTCCAGCCCTGCTTGAGGTCCTGTCCTGACTTCCTTCAAAAATGAAGAGAAAAACAGAAGTGTAAGCCAGCTTAACTTTTGGTCATGGGGTTTAGTACATGACTAATAAAATCCCTAACTAAGACAGTAGGGACTCTGAAAACAGTTGCTCAGGTCCTCCTGGAATTTGCTAAGAAGCTGAGGTGGCATGTTTGTTGTTCCAGGAGGCAGTGACGTTTAGGGACGTGGCCGTGGTCTTCAGTGAGGAGGAGCTAGAGCTCCTGGATGCTGCCCAGAGGAAGCTGTACCATGATGTGATGCTGGAGAACTTCAGGAACCTTCTGTCAGTGGGTGAGGATGGTGCCCTGTGTCCCCTGGCAATGTCAAAGATTGATTTCTGATGTCTTGGTTACACTGTAGTTAGTGTATATTTGAGTGTTTTGTCTGCATATTTGTCTGTGCACCACATTCACTTGTGGTGCCCATAGAGACCAGAAGAAAGCATCAGATGCTCTGGAAATGGAGTAACAGATGGTTCTGAATGAGCATGTGGGTGCAGCAAACCCAGCCTGTGCCCTGTCAGTATAGCCATTGCTCTGAATCGCTGAGCCATCTCTCCAGCCTCCACTTTATTTTTTAAGACTGAAATTTACACATAGATCGTGTGCTTTAAATAAAAATTTATGAACATTTGTGAGTGGGAGTATGCGTGCTGGTGGGTGTGGGTTTGTGTGAATGCCTGTGTGTGCATGTGTGTGCCTGTGTGTGTGTGTGTGTGTGTGTGTGTGTGTGTGTGTGTGTGTTAGTCAATGCCATGACCATGGCAACTCCTGTAAAAGAAAGCATTTAATTGTGGCCTGTTTACTGTTTCTGAGGTTTAGTCCACAATCATCATGGTGGGGAACATGGCAGCATTCAGCAGACATGGTAGCAGGAAGTTCTGCATCTGGATCTAAAGGCAGCAGGAAGAGAGAGGCCCAGTGACACACTTCTTCAAAACAATGCCACACCTACTGATCCCTTCAAACCACCTCCTATGGACCAAGCATTCAAACACTTCAGCCTGTGGAGCCCACTCTCATTCAAACCACCACATTCCACTCCCTGGGCCCCTGCAGGCTTGTAGCCAGATTAGAATGCAACATGCATTCAGTCCAACCACAAAAGTCCCCACTATCACAGTATCAACCCTGTTTAAAAGTCCAAAGCTCAAAGCCTCATCTTAGACTGATGCAATCTCTTACCTATAACCTCCTAAAATATCAAAATAAAAAAGCAGATCACATCATCCAACATACAATGGCACAGACTATATGATTCTAAAAGGGAGGGAAGGAGCACAGTAAGGAAATTCTGAACCAAAATAAGAATCAAAACCAGGAGAGCAAACTCCAAACTCTGCAACACCCTGTCTGATGTCAAAATGCTCTCTAGATCTCTGACTTCTTTCAGCTTTGTTGACTGTAACACACTTGTTTATCTTGGGCTGTCTTCTCCCTGTTAGCAGCTTTCTTTAGCACAGATCCCATGGTTGTGGTATCCTCTTGGGGTTTCCATGTCAATCCATGCTTCACAGCTTCACACAGTGGCCTCTCTGAGTCTCTATCTAGGTGTGTAGCCCCTGCCACACACCTGGCCTCAGTGGCTTTCCTTAGCTGCAGAGAGTTTCCACAGCTGATTTCTTGTGTCCTTGATCCAGACAAGTGCATGCACCCACAGGACACCCAGCACCACTTCTGCTCTTGTCTTGGGGGCATCTTCTCCCCACAACTGAATAGTCTTATTGTGCTGCTCCCTTTTCTGTCTCAGCTGTTGTGACTTACTTCTTTCTGGCCAAAATGCTCTTTCCCAGTGGAGTGCCATTCTCTTTCTCTGTCTTTCTTTCTGTCTCTGTCTCTGTGTGTGAGTGTGTCTCTCTCCTCTCTTTCTTTTTCTCTGCATTCCTCTGCTCAGAAGTCCTTGCAGGCCTGGCTCTGAGGGGCAGCTTTACATGTGTCTCACTCTCTACATGCTGCACTTGCTCCCCTGTTGCCTGAACACAGTCACACCTGTTGCCGTTGGTTTAGTTTCAGTTATAATGACATTCACCAAAAGAGTGCTTGCACACTGTGAGCAATGGCTCCTTGAAGCCATGGCCCTGGTGCAGCTGCAGCAATGTCCATCCCCAGAAACCCTTTCCTCTTCACAAGAGCATCCTCTCCCAACCTGCAGCCCTGTTCCTCTTCCTGTTTCTCCCACTGACATTTAGAATTCTCAGTGTGTCATTCAAGCCACAAAACTTTTGTCCCAGGATCACTGGACCTTCTACTTCACTTCCTTTTTGTTTCAGCTTCACAAGTTGTTTGGTTCACCGTCATTGTTTCCCATCTGTTGTAAGTAACGATTAATATTTATTGTTGATATATCTTCTGGTAAAGCTTGCTGTTAATCCTAAACAGCTATATAACCAAATCACCACACAGAGACTGGGTTTTTTTTTTTTTTTAATTAACCTAGAACACAATGGTGGGCAATAATTACTCCCTTTTAAACCTCCAAGCCCTCATAGTTTCCTAACATTTAGATTTTACCCATTATACTTGCTTTTTGTGAAATCTTAGGTCTGGTCCTTTCTCCACATCATTCCAAGATCTGTTCTCCAGCCCCTGCTGTCCTAGCTCTGCTCCCGCCCTTTTGCCTCCCACTCTTTTCCTGTCCTCTGGCTCCTCCCTCTCTTCCTGCTTCCTTTCCCTTTCTCAACATTGTGGCTAGTTGCTTTATTTTGGCATGTTTACACAAAGTTGAGACAGGTGATGCTTAGAATAAGTATCACAATGCAATGTCCGGATTGAAACCAGAGAGTGAGGGAGAGAAATCAGCATTTGAATGAACAAGGGTAAGGTGTATATATTCCAAAAGAACATTATACCAATACCCATCCTGTTGTATGATATGATTAATATTTACTATTGGTTTATCTTCTGGTAAAGCTTGCTGTTAATCTTAAACAGCTGTATAACCAAATCACCACACAGAGACTGGGTTTTTAGTTAACCTAGAACACAATGCTGAGCAATATTTACTCCCTCCTAAACCTCCAAGCCCTCAGTTTCCTAACATTTAGATTTCCCACATTATACTTGCTTTTTGTGAAATCTTAGGTCTGGTTCATGCTCCACGTCCTCCAAGATCTCTCCTCCAGCTCTGCTCTCCTTGCTCTCCTCTCCTCACTCTCTTCTTGTCCTTCTCCTCCCACTCCTTTCCTGCTCTCTAGTTCCTCCCCTCTTTCCTGTCTGGCTCCTCTCATTGCACAACATTGTATCTAGTTGCTTTATTTTGTCCTGTTTACACAAGAGTTGAGACAGGATGCTTATAGTGAGTATCACAATGCAATGTCCGGATTGAAACCAGAGAGTTGGGGGTGGGGAAATCAGCATTTGAATTAACAAGGGTAAGGTGCATACATTTCAAAAGAATATTATACCAACACCATCCTGATAGTTTGTTCATTTTCTTGTTTTCTTGGGGTACCTGGCAGATAGTGTTGCAACCTTTCTTATTCTGTCAGGACATCTGCTGCTGTAGGTTGGCAGCTGGGATCTGCCTCATTTTTTGAACTGCTTCCCCCTGCTCCTTTGTGAGTCTGGCGAGGCGTTTGAAGGAAACCAGATCGATCCTGCTCGTGCATTTTTCTTTAACCAGGAAAAGCCCTTCCCTAATCAGCAGATGTGTTTTGATTCTTGCCATCCTAACACTGTAGCTCTCTTCTCACAGTTTCCACGCGAGCTTGTGTTCTGAAGTCATTTCAAGCTCCTGTACAGGTGTGCTCGCAAACACAGTGTCTTCCTTGGCCAAGACAAGGTCTTCTCTGCCTTTGCTGTTGCAGGAATCTCTGCATACCTGATTTCTTTCTCTCAGCCTCCAAACCTCCCAGTGCCTTCCAATTACAGTCTCTCTCCCTGGCTCCTACTCAGGTGAATCAATTGGTTTTCAGACAGGTTAAGACAGGGCAGGTCTGGTTTTCTCTGCTTGCTCCAGTCTCAGTGAAGATTCACAGCCATGTGTACTGTAGCCCACACCATTCCTGAATTGAAAATGCCCAGCTGCTGCTCAGTGCTTCCTTCCCATTATTCATCTGCACAGCTACACAGGAGCACAGTGAGGCAGGAACTCAGCAGAGGCTGACGATGACTTTAAGCCTTCACTCCTCAGCCGACCCTAAATTTTCCACCATGGTCAAATGTGCCTTGCTCTTAAGTGTGTGCTGTTGTTGCTCAGAGCTCTCGGACATTCATCTTTGACCCTGGTCTCCAGTTAACACTTCCAGAGAGAAATGAGAACTCAGACCCTTGATGACCCATCCTTGCTGATATCACCTTCTGTTCTCTATGCTTTCAGGAACCCAGAGTCCAAAGAAGATGGAGTGTCTTCATGAGGCATTAATAAGGTGCCTTTCATTGGGGCGTCTTCCATGCTGGCAAATGGCAAACCATGATATCAACAAACTGGCCAAAACTCAAGCTGTCATAAACACTCAAGGAAAAGGTTCTCACTTCCTGGAGCAATGTCATTCCTCCTGCCATGTGGGAGTGCAAGAGCCTTCCTGGGCCTCAGGGTATGACAGCTATCTTGAGAGTCTCACAAACAACCTTTCCAGTGTTACTCAATATGAGGAATTTCTGTCTGTCAGAGCTCAGCATTCTTGGAGTAAAACACATCTTAGTGAGAGAAAGAACCATCAGAAACACTGTCCACGGACTCCTGTGAAAAGTAGTGCAATGCTGTTGGCTTCGGATGTTGACATTCCAAGTTGCATGTCCCACCGCAATAACAATATACTCCTTAAAAGAGAGAAAGCCCAAAGGAACAGTGACTGTGATAAAGTCATCTTTCATGTATCACCCCTCACTCAGCATAGTGTTTACACAGAACACAAGACCTACCAGTGCAGCAAGGGCCAAGAAGTCTTCGCTGACAGCCCTGGCCTAGAACTCCATCAGCAGGTCCTCTTAGGAAAGGAGTCCCCTGTATGTAGTACACATGTGGACACAAAGCATAACTCCATTGTCCCCATTCAACAAAGTGCTCTTCCAGGAAAAAAACACTACTGGTGTCACAACTGTGGCAAGAGTTTCAGTCAGAGCTCAAACCTTCAGAATCACCAGAGAGTGCACACGGGTGAGAAGCCCTACCGATGTGACAGTTGTGGGAAAGGCTTCAGCCGCAAGTGGGATCTCAAAATCCACAGCAGAGTGCACACAGGAGAGAAACCTTACAAGTGTAAGGTGTGTGGGAAGGGCTTCACAAAGTGGGAACACCGCCAGATCCATGAGAGAACTCACACAGGAGAGAAGCCATATAAGTGTGGCAACTGTGGCAAATGCTTCACTTATAGCTCCAACCTTCACAGGCACCAGAGAGTCCACACTGAGGAGAAACCCTACAAGTGTGATGAGTGTGGGAAGCGCTTTCGCTCAAATTCCAACCTTCACAGCCATCAGCAGGTCCACACAGGAGAGAAGCCATATAAATGTGAAGAATGCAATAAGGGTTTCAGTTCAGTGTCAAACTTCCGAAGCCACCAGCGGGTCCATACAGGAGAAAAGCCATTTTCCTGTAATGTGTGTGGGAAACGCTTCAGTTTGAGCTCAAATTTTCAAGCCCATCAGAGAGTTCACTCTGGGGAGAAACCATACAGATGTGATGTGTGTGGGAAGCACTTCACCTGGAGATTGAGCCTTCACAGTCACCAGAGTGTCCACACAGGAGAGAAACCCTATAAATGTGAGGAGTGTGGGAAAGGCTTCAGTCATGCCTCCAGTTTACAGGCTCATCGCAGCATCCACACTGGTGAGAAGCCATTCAAATGCAATGCTTGCCAGAAGTGGTTCAGTAAGGCCTCGAACCTCCAGTCCCACCAGAGGGTGCACACGGGAGAAAAGCCCTACAAATGTGACACATGTGGGAAAGCCTTTAGCCAGAGGTCCTATGTCCAAATCCATCAGGTAATTCACACTGGAGAGAAGCCATTCAAGTGTAAGGTGTGTGGGAAGCAATTCAAATGGAGCTCAGAGCTTAGTGCTCACAGGAGGGTCCACATAGGGGAGCAACCCTACATGTGTCAGCAGTGTGGGAAAGCCTTCAGTCAGGCCTCACACTTCCACATGCACCAGAGGGTCCACACTGGGGAGAGGCCCTACATTTGTGGAATCTGCTATAAGGGTTTCAGACAGAAATCACATCTTGTCTACCACCAGAAGGTCCACACTGCAAAAAACCTCTAGGTTTGTTTTGCTCTCAGGTGGGCTGATAATAGTCATGCTGCTGATTATTAAAGGCTCCTCCCAAAACTCAGAAGCTCTGTAGAGAGACTGTGTTTTGGTTATTTTCCCCTCAACTCATTTTCATATTTGGTTCATTATACAAAAGGGTGATTGATTGTATTTTAGAATGGATCTTAGCATACAAAGTAAAAAAAAAAAAAAATTAAAGACATAGAAATGGTTTCTGATTTAATTATGAAGGAGAAATTTTAAAAAATGAAGAATTGTCAATTGTCAGGAACAGACCCAACAGAAATTGTAGTTTCTCATAATAATGCTGAGATTATGTCATTATGCATAATCAATGAAGATTGGCAGAGACGTTGTAGAACTAAGAGAAATTAACTAATATTCCAAAACCAAATGACTTCAGTTTATAAAAAGAACTAACTGAATTCTCCCACAGTAAAAAGAACACCAATTCCTGAAGCACTCACATTTATATTAACTGGTTATAAGTCAGAAAAAAAAATAAAGTAATTCAAAGCCTATATGTTTCAGTTCAGAGTTTTATGCCATTCTTATGGTACTATTAAATTTTCCTGAGTCTCTTAATATTATTACTGACTCTCAATATGCAGAAAGAGTTGCTTTGCATATAAAAACGGCTGAAGTTATTCAGGATGATTCAAAATTGACTTCACTGTTTATTCAAGTACAAGTGATCAGAATAGAAATTGTATATAACATATCAGACCCCATATGTGTCCAATAGGCCCTCTAGTATAAGGTGATGATGGAATTGATAAACTATTAATAAGAAATGTGCTAGTGTCAGAATTTCACAAGAAACACCATGTTAACAGCAAAGGTTTAAAAGGGGATGTTTTTTATTCTCACTTGGCAAAAAGCCAAGGAATTTATAAGAAAATATCCTATTCTATTTATAATGAAACTCCATTACCTGCAGGGAATAACCCAGAAGGTACCCAAAGAAATGATGTTTGGCAAATGGATGTGTTTAGTTTTGCAGAGTGGAAAATTAAAATGTGTGTGCTATACCATAGACACATTCAGGATTTCAGCGGTAACTGCTTTAAGTTCTGAAAAGCTGATTCTGTAGTTAACGCATTTCTTGGATGCTATGGCAATTATGAGAAGAAATACTTGTACTGATTAAAACTGACAGTGCTTCAGCATATGTCTCTAGTATAATGAAGCAGTTTCTGCATATCATATTATAAAGCATATTAAAGGTATAACACAACCTTAATCAAAAAACCATTGTAGACAGATCTAATCATACTTTAAAAGATGCTTAACCAACAAAAAGGTATAACAGACTCTCAGATATATATTATGTAATGCTTTAGGAACTTTATATTTTTAAGTGATGAACAAAAAAAAAATAACAGCCTCTGAGAGACATTGGCTTATTAAAAAAACAAAACAAAAACAAAAACCTGAACTAAATCAGCCTGTTTATATTAAGGTTGTCCTAACTTCAGGATGGAACACAGGAAATGTATTACACTGGAGAAATGTCTCTGTATTTGTTTCACCAGGATGGGAACAAAAATACAAAAAAAAAAAAAAAAAAAAAAAAAAAACAATAACAAACAAACCCGGTTTCATCCAGTTTTATAAAAATCAGATTTGACCAGGGGAAAACCCCCTGAAGATCTTGGCTGAAGACATGAAGGAAAAATCAAGAGGACCAACAACAGGTAACACATATTGCTGGACCCTCTGCAAGGGAATAGTTCTGAGACTGGCTTAGACATGAAAATATCTTCAGCCAGACCTTCTACTCTGCACAGCCAATAAATCTTGTTGGCTACTAAATCCTCAGGACGCATCATGCCATTCATTCATATGGCATGGATGAAAATTTTTACAGTTTGGGGTTTGAATAGGTTCTTCCCTGATAGACTCGTGTTTGAATGTGTGGTCCATGGAGAGTGGCACTGTTAGGAAGTGTCATGTTGTTGGAGTAGGTGTGGCCTCATTGGAGGAAGTGTGTCACGGGGGATTGAGGTCTCCTCCTATGCTCATGCTCCACCCTGTGCACAAGAGAACACCCTCTTGGCTGCCTGTGGATGGCAGCGCTGTTCTACTACCTTCATCAGTACCGTGCCTGCCATGCTGCCTGCCATGATTGCAATGGACTGAACCTCTGAAACTGCACCAACACCAATTAGAAGAGTCGGCCTGTGTCACAGTGTCCCTCCACAGCAACAAAGCCCAAAATGAGACAGTTGTACAGTCCAAACTAGTTTATACGAAAGATGTCTTTTACCTGCTCATGCAAAAAGCAGAGATCTGTACACTATTGACATTCCATACATGTATTAATGCAAAAATGGATATTACTTGTGAAAGATGATATGTTTGTAGAACAAAAGGACCAGTGAAGTTAGAGCAGCCCTAACTGGATTCATCCTGGAGGATGCTGAAAAGATGCAGAGAAGCATGCTGAAACATATTTGATCCAACCTCAGACTGCTGTGATAGCTGTTTTATCAAAACTTGCTTTCAAGACAACTTCAAAGAAAGCTGCTGATATCAGATGACCCCAGTTGGTTCATCCTCACAGACTGTTCAGTCAGGACTTCATTTAAGCCTGCACTTTCATAGCACACAGAGACGGGACAGCTAGCATTGTTAATAGTGGCCAATATCCCAATTTTCTTGGGCCCCTAAAAAAGGAAAATGATACCCCCAGACAGCAGGAAGCAATTTTAAGAGCGTGATGAGTCAACCCAACTTGCTTTGGGTAGTTTTATGATCATTTGTTGTTGGATATAAATATTTATTATTTTAGTTAATTATTTAGTTATATTTAGTCTTTTAGTTAAGCAGTTATTCCTAAACCAGCTGTATACCCAAATCACCACACAGAGACTGGGATTTATTTAATTAACCTAGAGCAGAATGCTGGGCAATGATTACTCCATCCTAAATCTCCAAACCTGCATAGTTTCCTATCATTCAGATTCACCCATTATACTTGGTTTTAGTGATATCCTAGGTCAAGACTGTCTCTCCACATGTTTCCAAGACCTCTCTTCAGATTCTCCTCTCTCTTTCTCTCTCTCTCTCTAACTCCGCTTCCTTCTTTTTCCTCCCACTCTGAACCAGGATCTCCCACCCTATCCTCTCCATTGCTCAACATTGTGGCTGGTTGTTTTAACTGACAATTCAGAGAACAAATAGTAGCATGTTTACACAAACTTGAGACAGGTGATTCTTAGAATAAGTATCACAATGAAATGTCTGAATTGAAACCAGATAGTGGGGAAGAGAAATCAGAATTTGAATGAACAAGGGTAAGGTGTATACATTCCAAAATAACATTATACCAACAATCATTAAAAGGGGTTCAATTAGGAGTTGTAAATGATCTTGCTCAGGGAGGAAATGTGGTATAGGAGATTGGGCTCAGGGATTTCTCTCCTTTTTCTTCTATCCTTTCTTATCTAATGTTAAGGGGGAAAAGGTGAAAAAGGATAAATGGGATATAGGTATAATATAGAAATAGGGTATATTATTGAATCACTTCTTAAATTATCAATCTAACTGCTAGCCAAAAATCTTACATTGGTATAGATCATTGTGTATTGATAGAAAATTAAGGTTATATTTGTTTACAACAAACTATGTTTAACTCTTATTTAAGGTATTAAACCTATGCAATTGATTTCAAATACAATGTGAAGTTTTAGCCCTTGAGAGCTGTTATTACAACCTGTTTAGGACAATTATGAGATGCAACTTAGAAGCAGCCCCTTGGGGCTGCCCAGGCTCAAGCAGCAGGAGCATGGTGCAGAAACAGATCCAGTAGGAACTGACTTACAGAGGGACCCTCCTGCTCAGTGTTCTGCAGGACTTGTGGGTGATGACTTGTTCCACTGGCAAGCTAACATCGTGGGCCTGAGTGACAGTCCTTACCAAGGAGGTTTTTTTTTTCTTCCTGACCATCAACTTTCCTACAGATTATTCTTTCAAGCCCCCAAAACTTGCTTTCACTACCAAAATATGTCACCCTAATATCAACAGCAATGGAAGCATTTGCCTGGACATCCTGAGGTCACAGTGATCCCCAGCCTTGACTGTGTCCAAAGTTCTCTTGTCCATCTGCCCTCTGTGACCCCAACCCTTGTGACCCAGTAGTGCCAGAAATAACCTACACCTACAAGACCAACAGAAGTATGCATCCTCTTTGGGTTGACTTTGTGTGCGGCTTCCCAGATTCCTGTGGACATCTTCCTGCCCGAATAAAGCACATATACAACAGACTAGCAAGAGAGTGGATACAGAAATATGCTTTTATATGTCTTGAGGGCTTCTTGGGAGACACTGTCCAAGAGATGCTTGCCAGGTAGAATGGCCTTTGTATGAAGCCCTGAGCTATCAGCTAAGGCACTCACAGAACATCCTCTGCTCACAAATATGTTGGCCACTTTGTTGGCTGTAGAATGTTGGTGCCACTTTCAACCATTGTGGCCTTGACAGTATCACCTTTGATGCCAAATCAGAAACCATCATAGAGTTTTGAAGGAAACCAAAACAAATCCTGGAAATGGAAAACCTAGGGAAGAGAATAGGAACAACGGATGCAAGTATCACCAACAGAATCCAAGAGATGGAAGAGAAAATCTCAGGAATAGAAAATACCATAGAAGAAATTGATACAGCGGTCAAAGAAAATGTTAAAGCAAAATAAATAATAATAATAATAAAATCCTGACACAAAACATTCAGAAAATCTGTGATACTACAAAAAGACTTAACTCTATATAATAGGAATAGAAAATGAAGAGTCCTAGCTCCAAGGTCCAGAAAACATTTTCAACAAAAAAAATTTCCAACCTAAAAGAAGAGATGGCCGTAAACATACAAGAAGTATATAGAACACCAATTAGACTAGACCAAAAAAGAAAAATTTCCTGCCACATAATAATCAAACACTAAATATATGGAACAAAAAAAAGAAGTATTAAAAACTGCAAGAGGAAAAGGCCAAGTGATTATATAGAGGTAGACCTATCAGAATTACACCTGACTTCTCAACAGAGACCATAAAAGCCAGAAAGGTCTGGCTTTAAACCAGACCTTTAAACCCTAAGAGACCACAGATGTCAGCCTAGACTACTATACCCAGAAAAACTCTGAATCACCATGGATAGAGAAAACAAGATATTCCAAGACAAAACCAAATTTAAAAAATATCTATCCACACATTCAGCCCTACAGAAAATAATAAAAGGAAAACTCCACTGCTGGAACGCGCTGGCAGAGTTGAATGGTTCTTGAGTAGGGAGTGAGGATTGAAAGAAAAATTAATAAACCAACACACAACACATGGGACCTTTCTGAGAGGCTCTAGTAGAAGCTAGATGCCTGGTTTATTCTAGACTCACCCTTTTAAGTCAGAGCAAAAGCATCTTAGTACAATGAATTCACAGGGAAATCAAGCAAAAGGTGTGACTTTGACAAGACATCCTACCTGCTGTCTCAAACAAAAGGAGATAGACTTGGTAGCTTATCACTGACTCCACTGAAGGCCAGGGTGAAAGCAGTATTTCTGCTGAGATATAAATAATAACATAGCCTGGAAGACCGATGGCTCCATC